ACCACCACGAGGACCTTGGGGAAGGACCCTGCTCACTCTGTAAATAAATCCCTCACCCAAATGAGCAAGCACGACATTCCTGTCAATACTCAATAGCATGGTCGAGACAGTACTGGAATTTTACTAAAGACTTTGGTTTAACAAAATGAAAGAAGTACAGGTAGTCACAGGAAACGGATAATCTGGCCTACAAACTATCGCTCCCTCACCTCCCATTTGGAGCCTACAGTTTTCCCTCCTTCCTTCTCCTATGAAGGCCACCACTATCTCCCTCACTCGGGAGCAACCTCAAAGACAAGTCTGACTCCAAGTTTAAACCCGAGAGTGTGGTGGCCAATGTGTAGCACAGTGCCTGACATATAGTAGATACTCAATAAATACCGTCAAACTAAGCCAAAATTTGTTTAGAGAAAAGCAGAGTAACTTTTCCTGCTAACAGAGGTTTGTCTTCTCCATTCTGGTTTCCTGGACAAGGACCAGCCCTGTCTTCCTGTGACTGACAGCATGACAACCACATCAGGATAGAAAGCACAACACCAACTACAAAACACAAAGCAGAGCAGCCTCAGCCTTTACTGGACACGCCCAGTGGTCGTGTGTCGGCAGAGGGCAATTCTGTGGCATACCATGCCTACCTTAGACAAGGAATGACCTCAACCCTGAAGAGAATATGGTTGTAAGCAAGCAAAGGGGGTGAGACAGAAGGGTGGGAGGGGTTATTTGAGGCATTCTCCAGTGCGTATTTGGGACAAAGTGTGATGGGGCCCAGGGACATTAATTGGATTTGCCAGTTTTCTTCTTCAGGGGTATGTCCAAGTATGTTTGGCACATATTACGGAAGGACGTAGGTGGCACGTGGCATCCCTGTTTACAAAGAGGTTTAGGAGAAGGAGGCATCACAGTGCATCCTTCTGTGACCATGTGGGAATCTAAAATCCTGAGCGAGTAACTCCACAGAAGCAATTGGGAACAACATTCTAAGTTATCTTGGCTGCTTTTGAGTGTTTCTTGGCCCTGTCCTTCAACCTAGAGGTTGCTATCTGGCAGCCCATGCCCGAATCGAACCCTCAGAGAGCACTTATGTGGTTGGAAAAGTATTTTGTTTTTATCTAAATTAGTTGTCAAACTTAAATTATCCAAAGAGTTCACACAAAAACTCATATTTCCAACTTCTCATGAAAAATCAGAAGCTCTGGTTACTTGGGGCCTGCAATCCATCATCAGCTAGAGCCAAGCCATGGCTGCCCCTGGTAGATAGGCCTGTTGCTCTCCAGTCTACCACAGCCCCTGCCAGCCCACTGCACTCATGTAACTTGCTTGCCTAGTCGCTGTAAGCATCTGAGTGTGCGACCCCTGGTTAAGCCTCTGTTGGGGGTACTGTCATCCACTGGGAGACGTGGCTTCATCAGTGAATGAAGAATTCTGTGAGGAGCTGGCTATTTCTATGAACTGCTCTCCTAGTATTTTAGCAAAGCCTGCCAGATATATTCCAGGCTTTCTTAATCCAAGGAAAGCTGTTCTTTAGCTATAAGTTTTGCTTCGTTTACTTCCGATTACCATCAAGGTAACTTCTACATAAGGCAAACATCATTTCCATAGGATTGCATCTGAGACAGCACCTCTGTGCCAAGGCATTTGGCTGACTTGTGGTTGGCTCTGGTGTGGTGCTCAGTGAATTTAACATGATTTAATAACTCATTTTCTACCTCACCAGCAAGATGAATGGGAGCAGGAGGAAGACGAGGCCAGGCAAGACCATGGGGACCTGTAGGTTAGAGCTCTGGGGGCCCCTTTGCCGTGCGCTTGGTGAGGCAGGATCTGGAGGCCGCAGAGAGGAACTTGAGGAGTGGGCTCAGAAGTGGTGGGGAGGTCGGGGGAGGGCGCAAGAAGCAGCCAGAGGCCTCGCAGAGAAAAGCAGAGAAGCAGTCAGGAGAGGGACCCTTGGAGGAGAACCCTTTTGCCGCAGGATTTCTTGTTCAACAACCTGGCCATCCTGAAGTGCACTTGGCCTGCAGATAGCCCTTGGCTGGCCTGCACAGGGTTTGTTTTAAATTTGAGCTAATAAAGATATTGCACAATTTTTAAAAATCTAGATGTCAAGTTTTTCTTGGGGAAAAAAGAGGAAGATGTTGCATCACTACATAGGCATCCCCATGCAGGAGGCTGCAGCAGCTGAGCAAAGGCCACACCCTCACAAGCTGTGTGCTCCCCTCTCAACTCAGCCCCACCGTGCACACAGCGCATGTGAATGTGCTCACGCCTGGGTCCCATCAGTCGCTGCCATCACCTGCCCACTCCAGGCAAGCACGTGGGTCCGGAGCTCTGCTTTAAAGCACGGAAAAGTTGAAAAAGCACCAGAACCTAATCCTGGCTGAGCCATCTACTCCACTGTAACCGTGGGCAAGGCACACCCACAGACGTGGGCCTCCGTTTGGCCACCTGTACAGTGAGGAGGTTGTATAGAAAGCTCTGAGGTCCTTCCTCGGCTCTGACAATCGTGATCCGCACACCTGGATACAACCAGGTGGGAAAAAAATTATTTAAAATGCTAACTAAGTCGGGCTGAATTTGCCTTCTCAGGTGAAGGGTGTGTGAGAGGTAACCGTCCTCAGTGCTCCTTAATTCCCCTTGGAGAGCCGTGGGGGTGGGGGTGGGGAGGAAGGGAGGCACTAAGGGGCTGGCCCATTGGATTTATAAAGGGAGGCAAGGAGCCGAGCTTGGGCGTGGGGTTGGAGAGAGCCAAGCTTTTCCCAGTAAGAACTGGGAGAAAACAAGTTTGCAGAAATGGCTGAGGTTTTCCGCAAAAGGAGCACCCATACTTACTCCTCAGGCCTTTGTGTTTTCGGCGTTCCTGCCCTACAGCTCCCACACGTTAAGAAAGGCCTCTTGGGAGGGCGGGGTTTGTGGGAAGTCAAGGAAGGAGTTGAGACCCTCCCAGTGTCTGGGTACTTGTAGTGCAGTGTGGTGGCTGCTCTCGCGGGTCAGGGGCCAAGGCGGTGAGGAAAATGTGAGCCCCCTTTCCGCCTCCCCCCGCCCCAGGGGAGCTTGGGCAGGATGCAGGGCTCCCTCTACAGGGGGTGCTGGACTTGAGCCTGGTCCTTTGCATCTCGGGGGTCTCCTCACCAGCAATCTGGGACACTAGGTGTGTGCATGCTGTGCCGCTCCTCCCGTGGACTTACATTTCCCACTAAGAGCTGGCAGCACACGCTGATGAGGAACTTTTCTTCTCAGACGCAAAAAACGAAAGCAGACCGACTCACTACTTTGTTTGCTTGGGGGCATCATGAAGGGCAAACTCCTAGCAGCCAGAGCTGTAGGTTCACTGGAAAGCTTCCCTCTGGTGTGCCTCACAGCCAAGAAGAGGCTGGCGGCATCCCCAGCTGCTGCCCGGTCACCTGCACGGGCTGCTGAGGAGCATGCCGCGGGCATTGGTCCAAGGGCATCGCGTGGGAAGCGCTCTCCACGTCCTTCTTTCCTTTTCAAAACTCCAACCCTCACCCGCAGGGACACGGGCTGCCGGGTCTTTTTTAGAAAGATTGTGCAGAGGGAAGAGGCCAGTTATGGGGGAGTGTTTGCTTTGTTTGTGTCTGTCCTGTTTTCACACTACCTCCTGCACTCTTAGGCTCTAGTTCCCAGGGGCAGGAGTGGTGTCATTTCTGGATGAATTGTGAGTGAGGCCTGAGGTGCCCGCAGACCAGAGCTGGAAGCCCAGGAGGAGAGTGGGCGCGCCGCCGGGGCTGTGGGTGCATGCCGCTCGGGCCCTGCTCCTGCCGGGGGTCACAAGGGCCCGGCGTTGCGCCGCTGGCTGCTCCTCGGCCGGTCTGTTTCCAAGGTCCGTGGCCCAGGCTACGTCATAAAGCACTTTGGGACAGCTGTCTATTTCTAGGCCACCCAAAGGAAGAGAGAGCAGTCCCAGTCAGACTCCTTCATTCGTTCAAACACACATCTCTTGAGCAGCTTCTCCATTCTAGCTTCCGGGGAAGAGCCGAGGTGGAGTGACACACAGTTCTTTTTCATACTGAGCTTACACTCTTGCAGACTTTAAATGACTAATTAAACAATTTTCTATTAGTTATTATTATTAGCGATACAAGGAGGTACAGGGGTATGAAAAAGCATATAAAAGGATGGCCTAATTTGGGGTGTCAGTGAAGGCAGCTCTGAGGAGCCACTATTTTATTAAATCTAAGATGTGACCAATTGTGAGATACACCATTATTCTATGTACACTAGGAAAGAAAAATAATGCTTCCAATTAAATATGATATAAGGCTTTTTATGACTTAGAATATTTCTTTTATTTTTAATTTGACATAGACTTTTTATCATTTTGTGCATAACTAAAAAAATACAAGCAAACTAGGTCCTTAAGGAATTCCTGAAATTTCTTTACGTTCAGAGTCCATCTCTTCCTAATCACCTTCAGCTCAGAGTTGTGGACGTCTGTGCTTTCCCACACAGTATCATTCTCTGTGCCCTTAAGAGCAGTGGTGATATGACATTTCTTAAAAGAATCTATAAAAGACCTAAAAGTTATCATCACTGTGCTCTGAAGCCAAATTTGCAATCACGTAGAGCTAACATATTCTTGACTCCTGCTTGGGAAATGTTGCTAAACAGATGTGATCCACCACTCCCACACCACAACCATTTGGTTCCAGGGGTTAAAAGAGGGTTCCAGGTTGTGTCCAGGACTTGCTGCCAAGCCACAAACCCCGTTCTCCAAGCTTCAATGCTGGCACTGTTGATGTGCACGTGTGCAGAGGCAATGGCCACTGCACCAGCCCAACCTCTGTCAGCTGCCAGCCAGTGCACCCCAATCTGATGCACACCAATTTCAGAGATGCTAAAATGTGGAAACGTGCTTTAAAATTAATGAAACCTGGTAATTTCTAAGATGAGCTCTTACAGATGAGCAAGAACTAGCTAAGCAAAGAAAGGAGTGAGAGCGGGGATGTCCTGAAGAGAGGAAGAGTACGTTTGAAGGTTCAGAGGTGAGAAAAGTGCAGTGCGTGCCAAGAAATTCAAACTGTCCAGGTGACTGACCCAGACCCCAGGAGAGATGGCAAGGGATGAAGTTAACTGATAGGCAGGGCCTGTCCTTACTTATGCAAGTCCTTGCAAGCCATGTTAGGAGTACGGAATTTCATCCTCAGAGCAATGGGAAGCCTTCAAAATGTTTTCAGCAGGAAGTAGATATGGGAGGGTGAGAGATAGATACATCAGAGGAGTTATTTAAAAGATCTCTCTGTTTACAGTTTGGAGAATGGACTGGGTGGCACCCAAGTGGGGCCCAAGTGGATGTGGAAGGTCAAGCAGAGGCCAGGGTAGTAGCCCTGTGAGAAAGCATGGTGGCTTTGTCATTGGAATTTGCGGCCAGATTCGTGATTGGTTGGATGGAAGTGGTGAGAGAGAGGGAGGGAGGAGTAAAGGATGACTCCCCGGCAACTTCCTGACCGCAGGCATCACTCCCCGGGTCACAAACACTGCAGCAGGACCAGGCTCGGGAGTGGTAATCACGCTAGGTAATTTTGGCCAGGTTGCACCTGGGGTAGCTCTGCGACATCCAAGTGGAGATGTCATGTAGGCAGGAGGATAATGAGTCCAGAGCTCAGAGCAGACGTCTAGTCTGGGGAAGTAAATTTGAAAGTCATGAGAACATACCTGGTAACTGAAGTGATGTGCACCGATGAGGTTGCTTAGGGAGAGAATGTAAAGTGAGACATGAAAAGGGCTGACGGCTGAGTCTTGAGAAACTGCAGCCTTTGAAGTTGGGAGGAGGGTAAGCTGTCAAAAGAGCCTTAAAGAAGCAGCGGGAGGAAGAAGAGAACCAGGAGAGTGCATCACAGAGGCCAAGGGACGAGTGCCGGCTGGGCCTCGGCGCTAGTGGCTCTTTAGAACTTGGGCACCCACGTACCGCCCTGCAGCGTGTGGCTTCCTTTATATTTCCACAGTGTCTTCAACATCTGCCTCTTTACAAGATATTTTGCTTCTGACAAGCTCAATTTTACTTGCCTTTACGTAGAATATACACCTACAGAAGACCCCTCCATTTGGGCAATTTAAACCCAGCTGTCAGCAAGTTCACCGATTAGAGTCCCGTTTATGAAACTGTTGAGTGCTTCTGAGAAGAGAAATAAAAAAGAGAGGGGAAAGGCAAGAAGGCAAAGGAAAAAAGGAAAAGCCACTGTTTATTGAGCATCTACTCTGTGCTGTTCCACATGCTTGTCTAACCCTTTCAAAGTGGCGCAAATGACTCTTACTCTCCTCATTTTAAAGGCTCGGAGACGTTAAATAATTTGAGCAAAGCCACAAAGATAGTGCCTTGTGTATGGAGAGCCAAATCGCCAACTTATACCTATCTATTTGGAAAATGTTTTTCTAGGGCAGTCCCTCGCAGGAGGTTCATGTGTGCTTGTGAAACGCAAGCACATTATCTCAGAGGCAAAACAGCTACAGGAAAGGAGGAAGAGTCCAATGTGACAGAGAAAAGGTAATCTTTGACAGCAATGTCTAAACATGACTCTGACGAATGACCCCCTGAATAGATGTGCTCCTTTTGCCTTGTTTAATGATATTGGTGGATTGAAGTTTAGTGGAAATAGCTGTGGTGTGATGGATTTATTAGTGGCAATTACAGGTGAGGACTCCTCTGCACTGGGTCTATTTTAATGGGAACACCATTTAGGGGAGTTAGCGGGCACAAGCCTATTTATTCCTCTGCCTCCCTCATTAGCTCCTCTCAGCTCAGGAGGAAACTGCAGTCTAATGTGGCCTAGATTCCCTTCAGAATAGCCAGGGTCCTCAGAACTCTCATTAAAGGGCCTCTGGGTAGAGTCTGGTGAAGGAGGGCCTGTGACCACACATCTCTGTTACTGGAGCAGGTGCTGCTATGGGCTAAATGTTCTGGAAAGGAGGCAGGACAGGGAACAGCTTTGGCCACTGTGGGGGGCAGAGGGAAACGACAAGGTAGTGGTTGCTTCACCATGTTGCTTGTACACACAGATAATCATTGTTGGCAGTGTCATCTTGACTCTCAATGATAGCGTCTGTGACAGGTAATCTCAGTTCTGTAGGTGGGTGAAGGTAATGCCATTCTCCAGAACACAAGTTTATTCGTGGCACCTTGGTGCTGCATAATTAAGGGGACTGAAAAGACAAACTGGGGCATACCCAGAGATTCTTGTGTCCACGTTCAATAGAGGCCTGTTTCGATGAAACGTTTCAGGTGGGAGTGAGGCTGCAGAATGAAACAGAGGGGGAATCACCGGAAAGCATCCTCCATCTGCCTGGGAAGACCTGCATCAGGTGACTCTTCCACTCACCTTTCCTTACCACCTCCTTCCAGCACATCTAGAGGTAAACACCAAGAAGCACAAAGGACGAGGAGGAGCTGCTGACCCAGTAGATGCAGTTACAGCCAAAAGATCACACTTGGGTTTTCTTTTTGCCAAACAATTTGAAAATCTAAGGAGAGTGCTGATGTATAGACTAGCTAAATGGTTATTAAACAAGTTTTTTCTTCCTGGGCACACAATTATACTACATTTCCCAGCCCCTTTAGAATTACATGGAGCCAGGTGACATGTTCTTGCCACAGTGAGCAGAAGTGATGGTCCTGACAGGCTGAGGCGGGTACGAGTAGGTGGGCCTTCTCCATTTCTCTCTGCCTCGACCCTTGTCTACTGGCCAGCTGATGTCAGGGTTTCCAAAAGGCCACAAGGTGAAGATGGCTGTGCCTCAACACGGAAGGAGCTTGGGTCCCTGAATGACTGTGTGGAGCAGAGCTCACTGACCGCATTGAACTGTGACAAAAGCAAGTGATAAACTTTTCTTGTCCCAGATCACTGAGATGTTGAGGCTAGTCTGTCACAGCAGTCAGCGTTATTTCCTTTAGCTGAGACCTTTGCAGCCGGGGTCATGGTCTTTGCAATCAGCGTCTTCATCCTCTTCTCCTGAAGTCTTCAACAGCTTTACAAAAATCAGGATCGACTTTTTTGTTCTTTGTTCTTTGTTCATTTTAGATTTTAATGAATTTGTCAGCAACAAAGCATTTTGTCAAATAATTATTAATGAGAAATCAATTTTAAGAAAGCCCAAACCAATGTAACAGCTCGGTAATTAATCATTCAAAATGAAAAATTGGACGTTTAAGGCCTGATGTGCCATTCAAGTAAAATTACAGAGATTTGCTTCAAAACATCATCTAACATTTTAGGGGAACAAGTGCTCCCTGTTTCCTCCTCTGAGTCTGTTTTCAGTTCTTGAACTGTCCAACGCTCTGTGTCAACTCTTTGGAATGTGCATCTCATGTGTCCTTTACTGATGAAATGTCATGAGCTGCCCTTCGACATTCGGCATTTCCCAAACTTGGCACCAAAAGGATTTGCCTTTGTTCACTGTAACACAATTGTCATCTTTTTTCTAAAGTCAGATTTCTGATTCTCTTCCACTGGGCCCAGAAAAATTTATTTCCTTTACCATTTCTACCCTAATTTTGGGTTTTCAGGCCTGAAAGTGATATCGTGGGAACCAACAGAGGACTTGGAAATCGGAAGAGATGAGAATACGGAGACCCCTCTCCAGTGAATTTCTGCACCGGTCGCTTTGCTCAGCTTTCCCTCCTGTTCCTGAAACGTCTTCCTCATTCCTCTCAGCCTCTCTAAATTCTCCAAATGCTTCAAGTTTCACTAATTCCCTTATAAGGCTTATAGAATTTCCCACATGGACCCTCAGTAGGTTAAAATTTCCAAGAGCACAAAGAACACTTTTGATTGTGTTCTTCCTCATTTCCCCACTGTCTAGCACTGTACTTAGCGTTTGTCAGACGCTTAAAATATACGTGCTGAATGAGTTGATGGCTTTGAATGACTGGGGGAATTTTGGGTCCTTCACTCATCTCAAGTAAACTGTGAATCATCAGAAAGAATAGAAGGAAAAGAGATTCATTCTTCTCAAAACACACACCGTCTGTACCACATAATTTAGCAATTAATTATGATTAATTTAGCAATTAAAATGAGCAATTTAATGCTCATTTTGACAGTACAAAGAACCGGCAGCATTTGTTTCCATGTCACTTTAAGAACATTTCCAGCTCAACTGACTGACTTAGGAGGAATAATAATCACAAGTGACAGTGTCCATGACGGCCTCCACCCAAAAACATAAAGCGGACTATTGTGTTCTTGCAGATATGATACGCTTTGCATTTTCTTTCTCTTGTTTTATTTTTTAATAGAAATATCTGTTGATCTACATGGCATTCTCTGGAGAATATACGAGCTGGGTGTGATGGGTAGAATAATGCCTCCCTCCCCCAAAGATGTCCACTGTGACTATGTTATGTTACACGTGAGAGGGAATGAAGGTTGCAGACAGAATTAAGGCTACTAATGAGCTGACTTTAAAACATAGGAGATTATCCTGGATTACCTAGGTGAGCCCAACATAATCACAAAGCCCATACAGGACCTTTGTGGAGGAGGGAAGCAGAGGAGGCGGTATTGCAGTGATGCATGTGAGAAAGACTCCACTGGCCATTGCTGGCATTGACCATGGAAGAGATCCATGAGCCAAGGACTGAGGGAAGCTCCTGGAAACTGGAAAAGTCAAGAAAATAGGTTTTCCCTTACAACCTCCAGAAGGAATGCAGCCCTGCCAACACCTTAGTGTTAGCCCATTGAGACGTGCTTTGGAATTCTGATCCCCAGAACAATAAGATAATAGATTTGTGTTGTTGTAAGCCACCAAGTTTGTGGTAATTTGTTACGGCAACAATAGGAAACTAGTACATTAGGGGTTCTAAATAAAAAGACAAGGATGGGTGCAGTTGCATTTTACAACTTATCAAAAAAAGATACAATAAAAGCACTTATTTTTCTCATTTTGTCCATTTGTGTTTATTTTTTCTCCCCAGTCATTCGTTATTGGCAGACACTGGGACTTCTGCTTTTGCAGTATTCAACACAGAATGACACCATGCAATGGAAGGTGGCCAGTAAACAATGTGGGGTTAAAAATACACAGTGGATAGCAAACACGTTCAATTACTCAGTGAAACCGAACTAAATTGGTGTTCTTCCAGGAACTTTTTGGTGATAAAGGGAAAGCTCACAACTTGAAATAAAATGATAATATAAACAAGCTCTCCTGTCTCTTGGGGGTTTGGGGCCACCAGATCTTGAAGAAAGCATCCAAGTCTCCACGACAAGAGGGACAGGCTAGGGTGGAAATGCCCTTGACAGGGGATCCCATTAGTTTCCTCTCTTCGCCCACCTGGTCTTCAGCTGAGCTGGTAACAGGTAACCATGTCTGACAAATGTGGGTTTCTGCTCATCTCCTCTTCCATTTGCAGGGGAAACGTCTAGGAAGAGAGGACTATTAGAAGTTGGGCAGGGAAGGGAGAGGAAAAGAGGTGATGAGCCTGGGCTATTTTAAACTTTGGTAATTGGTACCAGAGCAGTCAGGAATAGGCATGTATTTTATATAATACCCACACCTAAAAGAGATTATTTTCCTAAGGGAGAGAGAACTATCAGCAAATTCAGGGTTTCATGAAAACTTTGAAAAAGTTTCACTTGTCTTTTCTAAGCATCAGTTCATGAGCCCAGGCCCTTTTTCTGAAATGAAAGCTATACGCAACTCAAACACACTTGCGGGCATGTATCTGTTAATATCTTTAATGTTAGCTACCGCCTGGGTTTATTGGAAGGATTAACTGGATCAGTATTTGCAAAGTGTTCAAACAGTGCCAGGCACATGGTAAGCACCGCGTAGGTGTTACTGACCATTATTGTTAAATCAAAGTAAACCACCTTAGTTAGAAGGCTGATACAAAAATAGAACATGGCTCTTTCCACCTCTGCAATGACACACCAGAGCTTAAGAAATGGTGTAGTGGATGCAAGTCAAGTGCATGTGGCTTCCCAGCTCGAGAGAAATAAAAGGAGCTAAGTAAGTTGAGCTCCTCCTAGAGCCGGGCAGCACCAGGGTTAGAGGCAGGAGGTGGCCGTCGGTCCAGAGAGCCTCACTGAGCAGCCCAGCTCAGGCACTAGTGCTGCCACCTCGGGAGGCAATACGCTGTGGTGTGACTCTCCGTGAATCTGCCGGCACATGCTGCACAGCCCGCAAGGAGGCCGGCTCCGCTTCCGATAAATATCTGTAGACTGAACAAGTGAATGAACTGGACAGGTAACACACACACGTACATGTACGCACACCCGCCGAGCCTCCATGTTCCATTCTGTAAAACAGAAAGAATGAACTCTGATAATCTCTAAAGACCATCTCAGTGCCTTCTTACCAATTGTTTTTACAGGATCCTTTGAAAGATTATTGAAAAATAATAGAGTCTGTGTTTACAAAAAAAAGCAAATTAAAACAACGTCAACAGTAACTGTGCCTCTCTCAATTGCCTTTCCCTTTAGCATTCAGACTTTAGGGGACACCACATGACAATAAGTGCTGTGTTAAAGAAAACAGAGCTACTTTAGGTCAGGTCCCCTGGGAACAGATCCGAGGTGGAGAGGTGCATGCAGGAAGTGTTTCATGGAGTGGCCTCAGGATCCACACACAAAGGGAGTAAAGAAAGTGGGATCAGAGCGAGGGAAGAGCTGAACAGCCCTGAGGTCACTATAAAGGCCTCAGTCAGAGCTGTCCCAGCTCGAGGCGGGTGGCGGGGCCTTCCCTCCTCCCTGGATCTGGCTGCCCCTGAGCAGGAAGGGGCACGGCCTTGGGGGAGGTGGCCATCTTTGGTTGAGGATCGTTCCCAGAGAGGGAGACAGCCGCCTACACACAGAAGACAGGGGAACAAGAGCCTCGGAGATCCTCGCTGCTCGTGTTAGTTACTTGCTGAGTAACCAACCACCACTAACTTAGCAGCTGAAAACCACACTAATTTATCATCTCACCCTTTCCAAGGGTCAGGAGTCTGGGCATGGTCTCACTGGGTCCTCTGGTCGGGTCCTACAGGCGTTAGTCAAGGTGTGGACTGGGTTGTGCTTTCATCTGCAGCTCCACTGGGAAGAATCCACTTCCAAGAATATTTAAGTTGGTGGCAGAAGTCATTTCCTTGTGGCTGGATGACTGAAGGCCTGGTTTTTTGCCGGCTGTTGCCTGGGGGCCACCTTCAGGTCCTAGAGGTTGCCCGAGGTTCCTAGAGCTGGTACATGTTCCTTGCCCCCTGGCTGCTAACATAGCCAATTACTTCATGAAGCCCACCAGAGAGCCTTTCACTCAGAGACAGTCAGTGCCTCTTTCAAGGGTGCTCACCTGGTTAACTCAGGCTCACCCTTTTGATTAACTCAGAATCAGCTGATTTGGGGGTTTAATTATATGTCAAAAATCTCTCTACTTCTGCTATGTTCTGTGGGCTAGAGGTGAGTCACAGGGCCCACCCACACTCCAGGGGAGGGGATTATATGAGGCATGAACATCAGGGGGCCGTTTTGGGGTCTGTACGCCATAGTCCTGAAGGGGAAATCTGGGTGGTGTACTACACATTCACTTAAAATAACTCAAAATATAAAGTTTGGTAAACAAGATTCTCCTGGTGCCACGCGATCTCAGGCTGACCCATTCTGGAGGCAGCTTTAACCCTTTGCGGTTCTCACAGTGCAGAGAGTTTCTCCGTGGCAGCAGGGGACAAGACGGCCTAAATCTGTAGCTATCGGCAGGAAAGTTGCAACTGGGTGGGCACTGGCACAGCCCTTTGCACACAGCGGCATTCCATAAATGCCTGGTGAGTGGAATTTGTTGAGATCGAGAGCTGTGTTTTATGCTGCAAGGAGCTGTTAGTCTCTCCAGTCTGAATCTTCTGCTGGGTCTCTAAGTGGCCAGGCTGTCAGGGAAAGTCATGGCTCCATTCGAGTGCCTGCGAAAGTCAGTAGGAAAATGTTCCCTTTGTCAATTGAAAATGGCAAGGGAACTCAGGAAAAATTTTCCCTAGACTATTTAAATTTACTCTTATAAAAGAAAATTTGTATGTAGGTTGCATTTATAAGTTTTTATTTTTAAGTGGAAAAAAAGTAGAGTGAAATATAAAAATTGATCTGAAGGTGCAAGACAGACCCTGCAGGAACCCCAAACTATCAATGAGAGTTATTGGCCCCGGCATTTTGGTGTAGGGCTGATCCCAGCCGTCAAATCTGCATGACTGACTAACAGACCAAAATGGAGAAAATCATTTCAAGCAGGAAGGGAACTATTGCTTAATTCTTTACCTCAAAGCATTAACTGACAATGAGATATGCAGATACAACACCTACCCAACCGCATTTTACAGAAGAGGAAACAGCCCTCCAGATTTGGGCTTCACGTGTTTCAGAGTCTGCTGTGGAGACAGACAAGGAGAGGCCGCGCTGCACAGTGGGATCAGCGCCCCAAGGACTGCAGGGCAGAGAGGGGCGTGCCTCCCCCAGGTCCTGGGAGGCTTTCCAGCAGGAGAAGAGCCTGAGCTGACACCCTGTCCTTCCTTTACGGGGCCATGGGGGAGAAGAACGCCGTGCATGATGGCAAAGGCAACAGAAGGGAAGGCTGAGCCTTCGACTTGACGGGTTTGCCTGGAGCCAAGCTCGTCAGCTCTTGTAGGGGACAGCCTACAGGCTGCAAAGTCGCTGTGTCTCTTATGCGGAAGATGATCACTTTGGCTAGTTCACCACATACAGACAGATGGGAAGAGGCTAGACAGACAGACCATGTGGCTTAGACAGCTCGTAAGAAGCCCTGCTTAGGAACACAAGTTACCTTCCTTCTCTTCGCTGAAGTTGGTTTACAACTGAGATTTCTTCTTTGATGAGTTTGGGAAGATGAAGCCGAAGCCCTCCAAAGGTAAAGCTTAGTAGGTCCCCTCTCCCTTGCTTCACCAGCGTATTACTGTCAACTAACTGTCTTCATTCCACATCTGGAAACCTGGCCTCTTCTTAGAGTTAGGAAGCCACATAATTAGGGTGACCATATAATTTATCACCTAAAGTGGGACTCTAGAGAGTGAAAGGGAGCATGGATAATAATTACTCCAGGACAACAGAGGTAAACTGGGGCTGTCCTGGGCACACCAGCACACTCCTCGTGACGAACTCAGCCCGGTTAACACTAATTAGCTGCGGAGTGAAAGGAATTTTCGCAGAATTCTCAGTGGCTCCCATCCCTAGGTCACAAAGAGGAAGGTGGCCTTGCTTCCTTCGTGCTTGAATTACTCAGAGTGCACCATCCTTTGTCTAAGAAGAATATTGTTACTGAGCAGGACTTGAGATGCCTGCGTGTGAGGAAAGTCGCGTTGTTCTCTGAGCAACGCAAAAGAATGAAAGAGGAACGGATAATAAATAGTAAGCTTGCTAAAGGCCAAGATTTCAAGGAATTCAGGAATATTTATTTTTAGAAAGCTCACTTTTACTCCCTTAAAAAAATCCTCCTGCCCTACTCTGGAACTGAGAAAACATGATTTTATAGAGATGACTCTGGTTGCTGAAGTCACTATATCGGGAATTAGCATGAAGAGCCCCCAAGTTTGCAGTGAAAACTGACATGTAATGGACGAGAGACAACTTAAAATACGGTCATCAAATGTGTGACTGAGCAGGCCTAGGAAACATTTAAACCTAACTGAAGGACCAACGGATATCTTCAGCCTGGGATGGAACTGATGAAAAGGAAAGCTGTGGCCTAATCAATTCAATTAATGTATCAGAAGACAGACTGTCTTAACCAGAGAAGGTGGTCCAGATAGAGTCTAAAAAGAGACTCGAATGACTATGCATGTGGTGGTGCTCCTCCATCAAGGCCGGGGTGGGGAGGCCTGAATCTTTCACATTGGGATGCCGTGGCTACAAACGTGGCTTTCTTTGTTAAGAGGCAGGTAAAGCCCC